GGGTCCTGCCTCATCCCATGGGTATGGGCCCTTGATGCCAGGGCACCCAGCTTGGGCAATACTGGCCAGATTTTGTCCCCCCGACCCCAGATGTCCTTTAGTGCACAGATGGTAAAACCATAAGGGCCGCCTGACCCCTCCGGCCCCTCCTGCAGGCTCTTGCTCAGCCTTTGAGAGCCATGAAGATGGGTAGGTCGCCAGTCCTGCGCTTAGCCTACCACTACAAGCAAATCCTGAACCATGGGACATGCCTGGGCCTTTGCAGATTGTATGACACTGGCCAGCTGAGTCTCTTGACCTGGATCATTTATTTCCTTGGGAATCAAATCTCCCTGCTGTTGCGGGGAGGACTGGGCACTCCTAGGGCCCTGGGGGGCAGTTCAGGTTGCTTTCCAGCTGTGGGGGGTGATGGAAGGAGGGGGGCTTAGCCTGGGCAGAAGGTCAGAGGAGTCACCCTCAAAAAAGCAGGGGACCAGGCTGGGCCCTTTCTCAAGGGCAGCAATCACATTCCTACTCTTCTTCCAATTTCACATTCACATTGCTAAAGAAGAAAAAGCAGGGAGGAAGGGAAGAGGAGGATGAAGGATGTCAAATACATTTTAGCAGTGGCCTCTCAGCTTGTGGAGGGATGCCAGGGTTCTGGCAGTCCCTGGTCACTCCAGAAGATACCTGGTCATTCAGAGCCATTGATCAAACGTGCTCGTGTCCTCCCATGGAGGACAGCTGTGGGGAATAGTTCTGGGATCTGCCTTGTGTCAGCTTGTGGGACATTTGTTGGGAGCGGGGATTAAGACAGCGTCTCACAGCTGAATGAGCAGAGCTGTCCACATTATTTTGAGACAAGCCCTTTCCACATCAAAGAATGGAAGGGAAGCTGGCTAATGGAGATGTCTGGTCACCCAGTGAGCTTCCTTCTTACTTAGAATCTTTCCATGGGAAAGATACCGCCTTGACACAGCTCCACGGTGCTGCTTCCAGAAGCTGCAGTTGACTACACGTGAGAGTTAGTTGTCATCCCAGCCTTCTTTCTGCCTCACCCCCCACGCCTCCCCAGTCCACCACGTGACTGCGCAGAATTACAAAAACACCACCCCACCTGCAAGGGACTGAATCTCGGTTGGAAGGTACCTTTGCATGTGCGCACGCACACACACACACACACACACACACACACACACACACAC